AAAAAAGAAATTGAGCATATAATGAACAGCTGGAAGACCAATTAACACTAATTAGGTCAATTGACAACATGATTGGGTATAAAAAGAGCTTCTCAGAGTATCAGTGTCTCTCAGAAGCCAAGATGGTAAGAGGATCACCAATTCCACCATCATTGCGCAAAAAGATAGTGCAGCAATACTAGAATGGTGTTACCCAGCGTAAAATAGCAAAGACTTTTAAGTTATCATCATCAACCGTGCATAACATCATCAAAAGATTCAGAGAATCTGGAACAATTGCTGTGCGTAAGGGTCAAGGCCGTAAAACTCTACTGGATGCTCGTGATCTCCGGGCCCTTAAACGTCACTGCACCTCCAACAGGAATGCCACTGTCCAGGAAATAACAGAATGGGCTCAGGAATACTTCCAGAAAGCATTGTCAGTGAACACAATCCACCGTGCCATCTGCCGTTGCCAGCTGAAACTCTACAGTGCAAAGAGGAAGCCATTTCTAAGCAAGCTCCACAAGCTCAGATGTTTGCACTGGGCCAGGGATCATTTTAAATGGAGTGTGGCAAAATGGAAGACTGTTCTGTGGTCAGATGAGTCACGATTTGAAGTTCTTTATGGAACACTGGGACGCCATGTCATCCGGACCAGAGAGGACAAGGATAGCCCAAGTTGTTATCAACGCTCCGTTCAGAAGTCTGCATCACTGATGGTATGGGGTTGCATGAGCGCTTGTGGCATGGGCAGCTTGCATGTCTGGAAAGGCACCATTAATGCAGAGAACTATGTTCAGGTTCTAGAACAACATATGCTCCCATCTAGACGTCATCTCTTTCAGGGAAGACCCTGCATTTTTCAACACGATAATGCCAGACCACATTCTGCAGCAATCACAACATCATGGCTATGTAGGAGAAGGATCCGGGTACTGAAATGGCCAGCCTGCAGTCCAGATCTTTCACCTATAGAGAACATTTGGCGCATCATAAAGAGGAAGGTGCGACAAAGAAGGCCCAAGACGATTGAACAGTTAGAGGCCTGTATTAGACACGAATGGAGAGCATTCCTATTTCTAAACTTGAGAATCTGGTCTCCTCTGTCCCCAGACATCTGCTGAGTGTTGTAAGAAGAAGGGGGGATGCCACACAGTGGTAAAAATGGACTTGTCCCAACTTTTTTGGGATTTGTTGACGCCATGAAATTTGGAAACAACAGATTTTTCCCTTAAAATGATACATTCTCTCAGTTTAAACTTTTGATCTGTGATCTGTGTTCTATTCTGAATAAAATATTAGATGTTGGCACCTCCACATCATTGCATTCAGTTTTTATTCACATTTTCCTATATCTTTTATTTTTACTACTCGTACCTCTTGTGCGTTCATAGTTCTGATTTATGGACTTAAAAAAAAACTGCAGCAGCGGAACCATTTTCAGGTTGCACACCGCGGCGGATGTGAGTGCTCCACTTTTGTGTACAAAAGACAACCGCAGCTTTACTTTATCACCTATATAACTCGGGTTAAAGGAAAACTGAAACATTTTTTCAAATGTATAACCCACATTTTTGTCCAGGATATCACTTGAGCAAATACGCCCTTTAAAAAAAAAACGACGGACTGGCATCAACGTTGCACATCCGGGTCACTACTGTCTTCATGCTACTAGTACTGACGTCTCCTCCTCGTCTGTTTGTGGCTCCATCCGTGTAGTTAACCTGTTATCGGTCATGGTAAGCATCATGGAGAGTCTGATATATTTGTTTCACCGTTAAAATAACTCTGACGTTTTAAAAACTTGTAATTACCTAATTTCTAAACTGCATTTAAGCTGTGTTAGCATTGCTTGCAGGCTTAACGGTTTCATTTAGTGTTGCTAAATGAATTTTGCACGTGATGACTACATTAATACCTTTTGTATTCACTCTGGTCATATCATTATTGAGGTCATTTCTTGTCGCAGTTTGGTTGTTTTACTTTTAGTCAGTATTTGACTGAGTTTAAAAAGCTGAATACAGTCTCAGTGATCACAGTACTTGTTGGCTAAATATACTTTACGTGTGCTAATGCATTCTAGACTATTTTAAGGCCTAAAATTATGGCCTAAGATTTATAAACAAACTTGTTTTTAAGCAATTAAACTTGTTGACTTTATAGACTGTCAAGTCGTTCTGTACATTGGTTCAGGAGCAGTCTTATGTATATCATGCTTTTTTTTTTTCTCCCACAGATCCGGTCAATATTCCTAAACAGATTGACCCCTCACATCCTGTCCTGCAGCAGAGCATCCCGTTTGCTCACAGGCCGAATACCTAATGGTTTACAGCCGCATCCTTCAGCTTACACACAAATCCATCAGAGCTCCCATGAATCCGTTATACCTAAAATCAAATGTTCAGACTTATCCAAAAATAATTACACTCGGATTTATGCTATGCCATACATAAGCATTTTCAGAGCCATTTCCAGAATCAAACTGCTCCAAACTGCAATCACTGTGGTCGTCCTACCACCAGTGTATGTCCTCTACTTCCTGGGACACACAGACTTCTTTCAAGTCAGCTACACGACAGGCGTTGCGCTGTTTGCAGGTGTCATGTTGTTTGTTGCCAGCCACTTCTTCAGAAGGATTGTGGGGATCATGTACCTGGATCAGTCCCAGACCACACTAAAAATTTCCCACCTCACCTTCTGGGGCAAGCGCCACAACATCTACTTGCCCGTGTCAGACGTAATGACCATCTGGGATTCAGGAGACTCGCCAAACGAAACCATACTGAAAATGAAGAGATACAGCACTCCGGATGTCATGTATTTCTCTACGTATTTTGGAGTAATTGTGGACCGACAAGGATTTGAAAAAGTTTTTGGAAAAATTTCGTAATTTGTTCAGTACGTAATAGAAATAAGAGACTAAATTTTCACAAATGTTGTGACATTAACAAGTATTTTACATAAATTATTAAATCATTTAAATAATACAGTTAAACTGCGTTGCCGTAGTGTTTTTTTCTGAGATTTTATTTTCCTCTGTAAAAAAGGTGAACCACTATTATGCAGTAATCAAGACTATTAGGCTAAGCTGCATCATTTAGATGTTTGTGGAAAATGGATCATTAATAACAATTTAAAAAGACAAACTTTAATTGCATTCCTGTGTGTTTAAGGTATTTGGGGGCTTGATTTATTTTCCTTCCAAGTTAAGGTAGTGTTAATTACAGGTCAGACTGGAAAAAATATTTATATTCACTTTTCAGAGTGGTATTTTATCCAAAAACGCTGCTTCTTGGTCGATGTGTACAATTCCATTGTAACAACTTGCTAGAGAATATCTCAACTTTTTAGGCCAGAAAAAATAATTAGGATCGGAGGAAAGAGGCAGAACATTTCTGTCCATGTTATGTTGGTCTCAGGACACACACACACACACACAAAGGAAAAGGCTTGAAGATTAGTAAGATCTTTTATTGATGCCTGAAGCAAACTGGTTTGTCTGTATAGCAGACGAGTTCAAAATAAAATCTTTAAAAGCAACATGCGTAGAAAAAAACTTGAGTGCCTATTAAGGCAGATGTGATGGCAGCATTTACATAATCTGAATATTCCCATTAGCACTGGTGGTTCAGGTCCTGTCGCACTGGAACGTTCTGGACATCGTGGTCATTTGTTCGACAGATGAGCAAATGGCACAAATGATTTCTTGAAGCTGTGAAGAGACAATACAGGTCCAGAAGAGCTCGTCAACTATTAAAGATTAAATTTCATTTTAGGATATTTGTGTGGGAAGTCATTCCAGCATTTTTCTTAAAGAATAAAAGCAATCTTTAGATAATTGTCTTCCACTCAGTGAGCAGTTGTCCTAATAAATGAAGAGGCAGTTTGTTGTTGCTGTGCAGCAGAGCAGTCATTTAAGACTGAACATCAGGATATTTGTCAGCTCAACAACTTCTATTTTCCTGAGATAAAATGTGCAAATTCGATGCAATTTTTATGTAATTTTTTAATGTCACACATGCATTCTTTTTGTTATTTATTTAATGAAAACAAGCAGGAAACTTGAGTTTTTGCTCTCAGTTCGTACATTTTTTTTTGCAAAATTCGAGACATTGCAAAAAGATTTAATCATTTTTACTAATAAATGCACAGCCGACAGAGTGCTTCTTTAAACAGCGATACATTTTCTGCACATTTATTTGAACATTAAATAAATTAAAGGTTCGTGCATTTACATCTTCTGCTTGATAAAGCTACTTATAACTATCCAGACGTAATACAGCATATATGCATGCATCATCATGAGGAAACGTTTTCATTCAAACCCATAAATTCAAATTCTGTGACCTACAAAACTGCAGGTAGATGCGTGCTTTACTGAACTATTGAAATGTAAAATAAGAAATGCAATAAATGACAATGCTATTGTTTTGTTTGCTAGGAGATGACTGCAGCCACATTAGGTGTTTTCAGAGCTCACAGAAAGTACCAGGCAGTAAAGCCTGCCAAGATGGCAACCCAGGTGGCCAGCACCACCGTACAGGGCAGCTGTCTGAGAAGAGTCTGGACCAACTGGACTGCATGAGTGGGATTCCCACTGACAGCTAGAAGACAGAGGGAAGGGACAGATTAAAATCAGAAATCTAAAATAGAGAAATTACATTTTCTACAAAAATGCAATTAGAATGCTGAGTGTTGACTGCTGAAAGTTTAGGAAGAAACTGAGTCATCAAAGCTAAAAGAATCAGAATACTACAAAGTCCATGCTCAATAATCCAGGTAAACCAACATTTTTCAGCCAGGTCATCTGGACAGTTTCTTTTTTTTGTGCTGAAACGTTTCACCTTCGATCCAGAAGGCTTCATCAGTCAAGGAAACACACAACAAAACTGATTCTTTCCCCTTGATGACCTGACTGAAAAATGTTGGAATCAGAATACTAGCTTAAAAAAGTATAACACTAGATAAAAGTAGCAAAAGGCTAGATAAAGCTAGAAGTAGCAAGGTGCTAGCTTAAAACTGCTAAACATAAGTTAACAGCTAAAAGTTAAAGAAAATTAAAACAAAAGCAGTAAAAGGCTGGGTAAATGCTACAAGCATCAAAAGGCAAGCTAGAAGCTAAAAGTAGCAGTATGGCAGCTAAAAGTTAAAAAATTGTAGCCAAAACATAAAGTAAAAGAATGCTATAGCTCAAAGTCAAAAGTAGCATAAGAAGCCAAAAACAGCATGAAGCAGATTTCAAATAAAACCATAAACAGCATTGTTTACTCTGTAGAAAAAAAAAAGACTTTAGTAATTTAAAATCAGTATTTTTTTATTTTTTTTTACCCATTTTAGCTGCATAGTATGGACACTTGCTGATATCACCACCCTGCATGATTTCTGCGTGACCGTGTCCAAAACCTGCATCCAGGACCTCCTCTTTGATGGTTTTTCCAATTTCCTCCAGCTCTGAGAACACCTGTTTCAGAATAAAATGCTTATCATCCTCATCTGAAATTATTTGTTCTGTTTAATTTCTGCTTTCTGGTCGATATTTCTGCGACTCACTGTCACATTGAAGCCAAAAGCCTTGTTGGACTCGTCCACGATCCTCTGTTTGGTCTCCATGTCCAGCTCCAGCTCATTCAGCCTGCTTCGGTAAAGCTGCTTGAAGTCCTTGTGACTGTGGATCTCCTCAAACTGGTAGAAGTTCAGACCCTCTCCTGTGGAGGGGAGCTTCAGAGCTCTCTGGGCCACTTTCTTCAGGATCTGTCCACCTGAAAGATCGCCCATGTAGCGGGTGTAGGAGTGGGCCGCCAACAACACTGGGTCCTTCAGGCCCACCTCATGGATGCGGTCCACATAGAGCTTAGTGCCTGCAGACAGGCTGATCTGTGAGGGCACATGCAGCTAAGAAAATTACTTTCCTGCTGTCAAAACATTTAATATTCTGTTTAAACCTTAAAAAAATATAAATAAATAAAAAAATCTAAAAAGAGAGCAATCAGGTCTCGCTTCAGGTTGAGTTCTTCCGCAAGTGCAGGTGTTCAAGTAACTCGGGGTTTTGTTCACGAGTGAGGGAATAATGGAGCGTGAGTTTGACAAACGGATCGATGCAGCATCTGCAGTATTGCGGACTCTGTGCCGGTCCGTTGTGATGAAGAGGGAGCTGAGCTGTAAGATGAAGCTTTCCGTTTACTGGTCGGTCTACGTTCCTACCCTCACCTATGGTCATGAGCTCTGAGTAGTGACCGAAAGAATGAGTTTGTGGATACAAGCGGGTGAAATGTTTCCTCTGCAGGGTAGCTGGACTCTCCCTTAGAGACAGGGTGAGAAGTTCAGTTATCCAGGACCAGGAGAGACTCGGCGTAAAACCGCTGCTCCTCCGCATCGAGAGGAGCCAGTTGAGGTGGTTCGGGCATCTGGTAAGGCTGCTTCCTGGGCGCCTCCCTAGGGAGGTGCTTCAGGCATGTCCGACTGGGAGGAGACCCTGGGGAAGACCCAGGACACGCTGGAGAGACTACATCTCTCGGTTGGCCTGAGAACGCCTTGGAGTCCTCCTGGAAGAGGTGGCTGTGGAAAGAAATGTCTGGACCTCCCTGCAAGCTGCTGCCCCCAAGACCAGACTTCAGAACAAGCGGAAGATGATGGATGGATGGATGGAAATCTAAAACTGCAGAATTTTGTTTAAACATTTTTCCCACGTGCTCCTTGCTCACCTGGCTCTCCCAGTCATCTCCATATAAATACTCCAGGTCCTGGGCCAGAGCTTCCCGACGGTAAAGATCTGCAGGGAAATAGAGTGGAGCGACGTGAGGATGGTCTTTATTCTTCTCCATCTCCTCCTCCATTGCCAAGTAGACAAAATATAAAGCTGCTGTCCCTCTCTGGTGACAAAAAAAAAAGAAAAGAAAAGAAAAGAAAATGTGAAATGGTGCTAATTTCTAAAGTAGCCTGTGGTCAGCCTATTTACATTCCTTGCAGGAAAAATTAGTGGAAATTTTTAAAATGTTTTGATGAGCAGGACAATCTACAGTATTTATGATGCTTCTGAATATCTACAATGGTTCAAAGGATGCAGCAGAAACTTAATATTTACTGTGATGACAACAGATCACTATTACCTTGTACAAAATTATATCACTACAATAAGTAGATGTACCTGTACGTACACACAAAAAAAGCAAAGTATTATAATTTCCTTTTACCGGTAGTTGGTTTTCATTTTCAGCAAGATTATTACAAATTGAACATTTTACTCAAAATACCCATTTAACACTCGGTTCTGACTTCTCTCCACTGGCTTCCTGTCCACTTCCAGATCGATCTGAAGATTTTACTGCTTGTTTTTTGTTGTTTGTTTTAAAGGGTCTGTCTCCATCATATTTATGTGATTTCCTTAACATCTACGCTCCAGTAAGTGCACTCCGGTCAACCAACTGGTTTCTCTTGGACGTCCCTACATCTGAATTACAGAGGTGGTCGGACTTTTGCAGAGTTGAGACTTTTAAATCTTTTCCCTTGTTTAATTCTTTGGTGTTTGATTCAGGCAGTTTGACAAACAACTATAGCTGAGGCTTTTTATGTTGTGTTTCTGTATTTTATTTTTAATGTTGCGTTTCCTCAATGACAAAAGGTTTCTTGTGTCCTCCTTGTTCTTGCTGACATTTTAATTTCCATTTGACTGCATTGTAAAGAACTTTGGTCAGCGTCTGCTGCTTTTATTTGCTATACAAATACATTGACACTGAAGATGATTTGGAACCAACCTTAAACAACTCCTTTTTAATGTGTCCTCTGAGGAAATCCTTGACAAACTGGCAGTTTTCTGCTCGGTCGTGGGCCTCCTTGGTGCCCTCAGCTAACATCTCGGACAGGTCAAATGGACTGTGTGGAACAGAAAGAGAAGGAGAGGTGAACAGACAATAACACGATGAAAATTTAAGGTCTAGCGCTTTTTTGAAAGAATGCATATCGCTTGTCGCCTTGCCAGAATTTTAGACTAAAATTATCTTATGTTGAGAAATGAAAGCATTGTAGCGATCTTGGTCAAACATTGAAAAAAAGTTACATTACAGTCACGTCAAAGTTTAGCTCAATATATGTAAAATTCATTGTTTTAGCTATTTTTGTGTTGGCTAATATTGCATTGAACTGACTCCAAAAGTTATTCAGTTGTAGACATACACCCAACAGTAGTTCATTAAAATGTATCCAGTAGTTCACAAGATACTTTGCTAACAGACAAACAGGGTTGACTCCAACTGTTAATGCTTTACACATATTTCTTGTATAGAGCGGTACCTTGAGTATGTGTCGTGAATAACTCGCAGCTACAACTAGAAAAACTTCTGCTCAGTGTCTAAAATTGACTGCTTTCAAGCCATTTTTGTGTTTTCTAAGCTCTTTTCTGAAAGTTTCATTAAAACCCATCCAGTGGTTCATGAAATATTGTGCTAACAGACAGTTGACTTCAAATGGTTAATGGTTGGTTATCTGTTAGTGCTCATACAATGTGTTGGGGATAGGTCTCAGCTACTACCACACATTTAGCTCAATATCTGTAAAACTGACTACAGTGCTTTTGTGTTTCCTAATGTCCATTTGACTGGGGAAGCCATTTTAATCAGACAGACTCCTAAATATGTAATCAGTTATTGAAGTACATCCAAACGCATGTCTGGAAGTTTCACAAGATATTTTGCTAACGCATGCACACACATGCATTACTGTCCGCCTCCGCCATTTGATGGCAAGTAATAAATGTGTCGTTTTCAGATAAACCACTGATCATAGGCGGCAGTATCTTCCGCACCTGAGATGTTCATCCTCATCCTCCATGATCCTGGCTCCTTGTGTTGTTGCGCCGTTGGACTTAGACTCTGAATTAGTGAAAGTGAAAAACACCAGAGTTTTTACCAAAAACCAAGGAAGATAAAAATACATCACTTCACACAACAGACAAAGGTGCCACAACCCTGAAATTATTATGGGTTCTTAATTCTTATAGATACACGACTATGCAGTACAAGTCAATACAGTAATTAATTATATAAAATAAAATACTAATTAAATAAAAAAACAAATGCTTTAAACAAGTCTCATTTATCCAATAATGAGCTTTAGGGCTATATGTTTTCATACCACCTAGGACTTTTATTTTGATATCTTACCTGAATTATTCAGGCTTTGCTCAAAATGTCTGGTGCACAAAAAACTTATTTATGAGCCAATACAAAGTAAAAAAAATTGTGTTATTTTTTTAGAGTACTTTCATTTAAACGTCATCATAAGATAATTTTGAACGCGCTCTTTGATGACGTGTTTCACAGACAGAACTAAAGGACAGTTAGTAAATGAAGTGAGGAATGCAGTTGACTGTATCCAGGAATTCTCTTCAGTATCAGGTCTAAAAATGAATCTTAATAAATCTGTTCTGTTCCCACTAAAAGACTGCACACTTTCTGAAATTAATGATATTCCTGTCAAAGAGCAATTTACATACTTAGGAGTGAATATTGAAAAGAATCAAAATTTGCGTAGCAGCTCAAACTTTGGCCCTATTATACAACAAATAACAACAAAATTTAACATGTGGCTAATGAGGGACCTGTCATTAAATGGTAGGGTACTACTGTCAAAAGCTGAGGGAATATCTAGATCTGTATATACTTCCTTATCATTAGAGATGCCAAAAGATGTATGCAAAAAATTAGATAAAACATTATTTGACTTTATATGGAAACATAAATGCCATTACTTAAAAAAAGATATTCTCTGTAATAATAAAACATTTGGAGGTCTAGATGTCCTAAGTTTTGAAATGCTAAATAATTCCTTTAAAATTAAATGGTTAACTAACTTATTAAAAGGGAAAGATACGCTTTGGAACACTTTCCCCAACCATATTTTTAATCAGATAGGAGGAATCCAATTTTTATTAAAATGTGATTATAAAATTGAAAAATTACCTATTAAGTTATCGAGATTTCACCAACAAGCTCTCCTGTCTTGGAAACTTGCCTACAAACACAACTTCTCCCCAACTACATATTGCATTTGGAACAATGGGAATATTTTATATAAGAACAAGTCGCTTTACTACAAAAATTGGATGGAAAATGGAATTATGCTTGTACAACAACTATTAAATGATAATGGAACCTTTATGACATACACTGAATTTCTGACTAGACTTAAAATTCCTGTAACACCTAAAGAGTATGCTGTAGTTTTTGATGCTCTACCAAAATCTATGAGGCAGCTCTTCAAAGGAACAAAAGTGAACAATTTGCCTAGAGACCAACTTAGAAGCCCCGTAATGCTGGATGGAATCGATGTAACAAAAAAAACATGCTCCAACAAACTCATAAGAACTTGTCTGCAGAAGATCACTCTGCCTCCTGGTAGATTTTTCTGGTCTTCCATATTTGAAGGAGTTAACTGGAAGCAGATGTGGTTAAATTGGGAAAAATTTTGCATAACAAACAAAGTTAAAGAGGTTTCATATAAAATTATTCATAATGTATATCCTGTTAAAAAAACACTGGAAAGATTTAAACTTGACATTGACTATTCTTGTACATTCTGTGAACTACACATAGAAACGATTTCTCATTTATTCTATCAATGTGTTCATACAATCTCATTCTGGAGAGATGTGCAACAATTCATACAGCAAAAAACTGGACAAATAATTCAGCTTACAGAGAAAGACATTATACTATGCTTTGAAGACAAAGACACGAATAAAGACTTGTTGCACTTCACCCAACTTCTACTTCTCCTGGGAAAGTTTCACATTCACAAGAAAAAATGGTCCAACTCCAAACCAAACATAACCCATTTCAGCAAAGAACTTCTTCAATACATCACCTCAATTAATGGACTGGAAAACCAAAAGGCAATGAAAACCATCTCAACTCTGGAAAAGCTTAATGTGAATTTAAACTCTGTATAAATTGTAAATATAATTTCATGGTTTTTTATGTTTTGTACTAGAATATTATCTCTTTTACATTAATATCTATACCCCTGGCAAACAGATGTTTGTAATGTGTGATTAAAATCTTTAATAAAAAAAAAAAAAAACCAAAAAAAAAAAAAAAAAAAAAAAAAAAAAAAAAAAAAAAAAAAAAAAAGTTACAAAACAGACACAGCTTGTTATTTTTGTAGGCAGCTAGCAACGCTTACACGCTTGTTACCATATTAAAGTTTAAAATATATATTTGCTTCTATTAACACAAAAACAAGAAGTTGAATTTTACCTTGTTTTGAGACGGAAATTACAAACTAAAGCGTTTGTTTATCTCGTCTGAATGCTGTTTAGAGAGACAACAGCGCATCACGTGCAGAAGGAGGGTTACTGCAGCGGCTAGCCAATCAGAGTGCGCTATAAGACAAAACAATCTGATTGGTTAAAATTTAGATTTTTTTCACCAATCACAAGTCTCATCGCAGAAAAAGGCGGGACATGTTTTTCTGGGATATGAAGTCATTGAAGATATGAAACGCGCGTCTAAATGAGCTAAAACGTAAAATATCTTTTTTTTTTTCTAGTGTTCCAATTTATCTTCTTCTTTTTCTTTCGGCTTTTCCCTCTTAAGGGGTCGCTACAGCGAGTCATCCTCCTCCACCTCACTCTGTCAACTGCATCCTCTGTCCTCACTCCAACTACCTTCATGTCCTCTCTAACTGCATCCATATATCTCCTCAATGGCCTTCCTCTTTGTCTTTTTCCTGGCAGCTGCATTTCCAACATACTTCTACCAATATACCTACGGTCCCTCCTCTTAACATGTCCAAACCATCTCAGTCTGGCCTCCCTAACTTTATCTCCCAGTTGTTCAACCTGTGCTGCATCTCTGATTATCTCTTTCCTAATCTTATTCAGCCCTGTCACTCCTAAGGAGAACCTTAGCATCTTCATTTCTGCCACTTCCAGTTCTTTCTCCTGTCTACTGTCTCCAGACCACATATAGCTGATCTCACCACTGTCTTGTAAACTTTTCCTTTGACCTTTGCTGACACCCTTTTGTCACAAATCACTCCTGAAACTTTTCTCCATCCACTCCGTCCTGCCTGGACTCTCTTTTTCACTTCTTTACCACATTCCCCATTTTCCTGGACAGAGGACCCCAAGTACTTCCAATCCTGCACCTTTGTGACCTCTGCTCCTTGTAGCCTCACTGTTCCACCGGCCTCCCTCTCATTTATGCACATGTACTCTGTCTTACTACGTCTGACTTTCAAGTTCAAGTTTAAGTCTTGCTTCCACAACTCTCTCCCAGATCTTCATCTTCTGGCTCATCAACTTAATTCCCCTGTAGTTGCTACAACTCTGTACATCACCCTTGTTCTTAAAAATGGGCACCAGCACACTTCTTCTCCATTCCTGAGGCATTTTCTCACCCTCAAATATGCTATTGAATATTTGAGTCAAAAACCTCACTGCCATCTCTCCAAGACATTTTCAAACCTCCACTGGTATGTCGTCAGGTCCTACTGCCTTCCCCTTCTTCATTCTTTTCAGAGCTTTCCAGATTTTGGGGACTTCACGGAATGGTGTGAGTCTTCCTTTTTAATGCTAAATGTTTCTAAGACAAAGGAGATGGTCATTGATTTCAGAAAAAAATCTTCAGTTGCAGCTCCCGTGGTTATTTAGGGTGAAGCTGTGGAGATGGTGCAACAATATAAATATCTAGGAACTGTTCTTGATGATAAACTGACCTTTGACCTCCATGTGAACTCACTTTGTAAAAAGGCCCACCAAAGGATGTATTTTTATCGGAAGCTTTGTGGTTTAAATGTTGATTCAACTTTTATGAGAATGTTTTATTCATGTTTTATTGAGTCTTTTTTAACCTTTACCTTCATCTGTTGGTTTGGACTTTTGACATGTAAGAACGGCAGCAAACTGTCGGGGATTGTCAGGATGTGCAGCAAAACTGCTGGCATAGACCTACAGAACCTCGCTGACCTACACAAGGTGAGGTCAGTGAATAAGACCAGGCAGATTCTGGCAGATCCTGATCATCTACTCCATGGTGAGTTCAGGTTGCTTCCATCTGGACACAGGTTTCTGCAGCCCAGATGTAGAACAAACAGATTGAAAAACTCATTCATCCCTGTAGCAATCAGGTTTCTCAATGAACACTAATTTCAATACTGTTACTTTAATGTCTTAATGTCTTGTGTATATATGTATGCATATGTAAATATGTGTATATGTGTATGTGTGTGTATGTGCGTGTGTGTGTATATGTACACATCTACTGACTGTGAAACTAATTGCGCCTCGGGGATAATAAAGATACTTGAACTTGACTTCACCCTCACTAATCTTTCCCACTTCCTGGTCCACAGTTTCTATGACCTCTACTCTTCTTTCTCTTTCATTCTCTTCATTCATTAGCTCCTCAAAGTACTCCTTCCATCTTCCCGTCACACTCTCCCCACTTGTTAGAACATTACCATTTCTATCTTTAATAAGCCTAGCCTGCTGCACATCCTTTCCAGCCTGATCCCTCTGTCTTGCCAATCGGTACAAGTCCTTCTCGCCCTCTTTAGTGTCCAGTCTCCCAAACAACTCATCATACGCCCTCTGCTTTGCCTTAGCTACTTCCCTCTTTGCTCTGCATCCCATCTCCTTATATTCCTGTCTTTTCTCTTCAGTCCTCTCGCCGTCATATTTCTTCTTGGCTAATCTCTTTCTTTGAACGGCGTCCTGCACTTCACTAGTCCACCACCAGGTTTCCTTATCATCCATTCTCTGTCCAGATGACACACCAAGTACCTTCCTACCTGTCTCTCTAATTACTGTTGCTGTAGTAGCCCAGTCATTTGGAAGCTCTTTCTTACTACCCAGAGCCTTTAAAAGCTC